AAACGATTTTGACGAGATTTTGTATGAAATTGAATCGTACTAAAAACATTTATGCTACCAGGGAAACAGTCACAATTTTGAATTAAAATGGCGCTGTCAAATGTAAAAATGTGACTGTTTCCCTATTACATCGAAACGATTTTGACGAGATTTTGTATGATATTGAATATTTTTCGTACTGAAATCATTTATGCTACCAGGAAAACAGTCACAATTTGGAATTAAAACGGCGCTGTCAAATGTAAAAGTATGACTGTTTACCTATTACATCGAAACGATTTTGACGAGATTTTGTATGAAATTGAATATTTTTCGTACTGAAATCATTTATGCTACCAGGGAAACAGTCACAATTTGGAATTAAAACGGCGCTGTCAAATGTAAAAGTATGACTGTTTACCTATTACATCGAAACGATTTTGACGAGATTTTGTATGAAATTGAATATTTTTCGTACTGAAATCATTTATGCTACCAGGGAAACAGTCACAATTTGGAATTAAAACGGCGCTGTCAAATGTAAAAGTGTGACTGTTTCCCTATTACATCGAAACGATTTTGACGAGATTTTGTATGATATTGAATATTTTTCGTACTGAAATCATTTATGCTACCAGGAAAACAGTCACAATTTTAAATTACTTTTAACTTTTTTTGACCAAAATTTTTTTGACCAAAATTTTTTTTGACCGAATTTTTTTTTTCCAAAATTTTTTTGACCAAAATTTTTTGGGCCAAAATTTTTTTGACCAAAATTTTTTTCCCCAAAATTTTTTTGACCAAAATTTTTTTCCCCAAAATTTTTTTGACCAAAATTTTTTGGACCAAAAATTTTTTTGACCAAAATTTTTTTTTTCAAATTTTTTTGACTAAAATTTTTTGGACCAAAATTTTTCTTGACCAAAATTTTTTTGACCAAAATTTTTTTTGACCGAAATTTTTTTTCGCAAAATTTTTTTTTTCAAAATTTTTTTGACCAAAATTTTTTTTGACCGAAATTTTTTTGACCAAAATTTTTTTTGACCGAAATTTTTTTTGTCCAAAATTTTTTTGACAAAAAATTTTTTCCCAAATTTTTTTTGACCAAAATTTTTTTGACAAAAAATTTTTTTGAGCAAAATTTTTTTCCGGAATTTTTTTTGACCAAATATATGGTCAATATCGGTGTAATATTGGTCAATATCGGTCCAATATTGGTCAATATCGGTCCAATATTGGTCCAACATTGGTCAATATCGGTCCAACATTGGTCAATATCGGTCCAACATTGGTCAATATCGGTCCAATATTGGTCAATATCGGTGTAATATTGGTCAATATCGGTCCAATATCGGTCCAATATTGGTCAATATCGGTCCAATATCGGTCCAATATTGGTCAATATCGGTCCAATATTGGTCAATATCGGTCCAACATTGGTCAATATCGGTCCAATATTGGTCAATATCGGTCCAACATTGGTCAATATCGGTCCGACATTGGTCAATATCGGTCCAATATTGGTCAATATCGGTGTAATATTGGTCAATATCGGTCCAACATTGGTCAATATCGGTCCAACATTGGTCAATATCGGTCCAATATTGGTCAATATCGGGCCAATATTGGCCAATATCAAAATGACCAAAATTTTTTTATCAAATTTTTTTTTGTCCAAAATTTTTTTGCCGAAAATTTTTTGGGCCAATTTTTTTTTGACCAGAATTTTTTTCCGAAAATTTTTTGACCAATATTTTTTTGACCAAAATCTTTTTTCCGGAAATTTTTTTGACCAAATTTTTTTTGAACAAATTTTTTTTGAACAAATTTTTTTTGAACAATTTTTTTTTGACCAAAATTTTTTTGACCAAAAAATTTTTTTTCCTCAACATTTTTTTGACCAAATTTTTTTGATCAAAATTTTTGGGCCAAAATTTTTTTGACCAAAATTGCTACATTGTTCTATTAAAGAAACGTATGGGTAAATTTTACTGTGAACACGGTGAACACGGTGAACCTGCCAGTTATTATTAAACATGGCACGAGATGGCGCCAAACATAAATGCATCATGCGGCATTGATGCATACAGCGCACGCTTCGAAATACTGCAAGGTCGATTATGAAATAACGACCTTGCAGCTGTTTCATTGCACTTGGTGCTCGAGTACCGAGTGTCAGCTCAACCTTTTGTGTTGGGTTTCATTTCGTTTTGTTCGAATGAGCGATCAATTCATTCAATGTGATTGGGTCGTCTCATCTGGACTTTTTTTTTCGATTCGTCTTCGGTCGACCTTTGAGTCTCTAGTCGACTAGCGATCGCGACAGATTTCAAAGAAGTCGTCGTCGTCGTCGTTCTCCGAGTTGGATTGATTTTTGACATATAATATTAGTAAAAACTTGTCAAATAAACCAACATTTTTTTCCTTCAATATTTTGTTATTTTGTTCCATTTCTAACTCTCGTTGTGCTTATTATACTGTTGATAAGTTATATATTTTTTACATACAACTCGTAATAACGCACGCTGTGCAGTACTGCCTGCACAGTTGATAAATGAATTCCTTTTATTGCTTCTCGCGTACGGGAGACCCTTGTGCGTGTACCCGCATCGCCGTTTGGGTCAAAATTTTTTGGGGTCAGAATTTTTTGGGTCAAAATTTTTTTGACCAAGATTTTTTTGGGTCAAAATTTTTTTGGGTCAATTTTTGTGACCAAGATTTTTTTAGGTCAAAATTTTTTTGTGTCAAAATTTTTTTGACAAAAATTTTTTTGTGTCAAAATTTTT